GGTAGAAGCAATATTTTCCTGCTTCTCCCAAGGCATTTACATCCTGCTTTCAAAAAGTCTACAGAGTTGAACAGGGGTGCTTTCCGCCTTTCTGTACAATCGCCAGAGTCCTGAAACTCCTGGGAAAATTATGGACCATATGGCGCAACTTAATGGATGATAAATAGTTATTTTCATCTTGGAAGATAAGGTCAGCCTGTTTGTCTCCCAAACAAAATGTTGACTCTTCTAATAGTATAAGAAACCTTCAGGCTAGCCTGTGAGGATCATACTTTCTGCATTCAAGAGTTCATCTCAGGTAGCCTTTGCACGATTTATTTTTCTTCCATTCAATCATGTCCAGTTCTCAGAGACTGTCTGGACAGATGCCTGCAATTTTCTTGGCAAGGTTTTTCAGAAGCAGTTTGCTATTGATTCCTTGCTAGGGGCTGAGACGGGCCCAAGGTCACCTGCTGGCTTTGTGCCCATGGTGGGATTAGAACTCACAATCTCCCTATTCTTAGCCTTAATCACGACGTCAAATAGTCTCTCTTGATGCCCTCCATATATATTGGGAAGGCAACTCTTAGACTTCCTAGCTTGCATGATCCTGGAAGGTGTAGTCCAAACTTATAAAGGTGGCACCAGACTATAGATGTTTGATTGCGGACCTAGCATTTAAGTGTCTCAGGCATTGAAGGGATGAGGTTGGGGGGAATCAAGGGTGAAATGGTTCCATGGTCTTTAGAATAGAATAGAATAGAATAGAATAGAATAGAATAGAATAGAATAGAATAGAATAGAATAGAATAGAATAGAATAGAATAGAATAGAATAGAATTCCTTATTGGCCAAGTGTGGTTGGACACACAAGGAATTTGTCTTGGTGCAAATGCTCTCAGTGTACATAAAAGAAAAGATACATTCATCAAGAGTCAAGAATCATAACATACAACAATGATAGTCATAGGGTACAATAAGCAATCAAATCATACTAGGAAACTGTCAATATAAATCGTAAGAATACAAATGACAAATTTACAGTCATACAGTCACAAGTGGGAGGGGTGGGTGATAAGGAATGATGAGAAGATTAATAGTAATAGTAGTGCAGATTTTGTAAATAGTTGGACAGTGTTGAGGGAATTATTTGTTTAGCAGAGTGATGGTGTTCGGGAAAAAACTGTCCTTGTGTCTAGTTGTTCTGGTGTGCAGTGCTCTATAGCGTCGTTTTGAGGGTAGGAGTTGAAACAGTTTATGTCCTGGAAGTGAGGGGTCTGTAAATATTTTCACAGCCCTCCTTTTGACTCATGCAGTATACAGGTCCTCGATGGAAGGCAGGTTGGTAGTAATTGTTTTTTCTGAAGTCCTAATTCTCCTCTGGTGTCTGTGTCTGTCCTGTTGGGTTGCAGAACCAAACCAGACAGTTATAGAGGTGCAGATGACAGACTCAATAATTCCTCTGTAGAACTGGATCAGCAGCTCCTTGAGCAGTTTGAGCTTTCTGAGTTGGCACAGAAAGAACATTCTTTGTCGTGCTTTTTTGATGACGTTTTTGATGTTAGGTGTCCATTTTAGGTCTTGTGATATGATAGAACCTAGAAATTTGAAGGTCTCTACTGTTGATACTGTGTTGTCTAGTATTGTCAGAGGTGGTAATATCCATGGTAGTATTCATGGTAATCACCACGAAGAAGCTTTAAATTATTTAAACTTCCACTATATCCAGTTCTAAAGCATAGTTATATCCATTCCACCTAACTATGTCAGCGCTTCTAGGTTCTCCACACAAGAGGAATTCCACCCAGAAATCACAATCCATGAATACTAATACTGCCTTTATTGTAGTAACAGAATCTTGAAGGCAGAAAGCCCTTTAGTTTTACTTTCCAGAAAGCTAGGGAGATTTTTCCCACACTCCTTATAATAAGGTAGTACCTCTGTATGTGTGTATGTGTCTGTCTGTCTGTCTGTCTCTCTCTCTCTCTCTCTCTTTCTCTCTCTCTCTCTCTCTCCGTGTGTGTGTAAAAGCATAACAAACCATTCATGTAAAAATACCACCATTTATTCCTTAGCTTAGGAATCTTTAATCTATTCAGTCAGATCAAGGCTCCATAAAAAAATATCCATGATTTGGAAGGTTTAATTACATTAACATCTTTTGCAGTCTTTCTGTGGTTTCTAAGTCTTTTTCACAAATATTGTTAGCCCATACTATACTTCTCATTTGAGTTTGTTTTCTTACATTTACTTCTGTTAAATCTCATTCTCTTGTCTTTAGTGCATTCCTCTAACTTACCAAGATCATTCCTATTTCCTTGAATATTAGAAAGCCCTCTAAACTTTGCTTCATTTTTAAATTTGGCAAGTGTTCCCACCACCTCTTCATCAAAGTCATTAATAAAAATAAAGGATGAATATAAGATGGATTGACTTGACCTGGGAGCATGCCATGAGATACCTCACTCCAGTTTGATAAGAATTTGCTGATGATCACTCTTTCTCACCCTCTTAATTGCAACATGAACACACTTTGCTAACCATTTTTCTACCCAATTCAGATGTTGCTCTGAACTCATCCCCAGCCAAATGTTCTTTTAACTGCTCAGGTTTTATAGTACAGTAGGGATACCTGTAGATACTTGTTTTTAGAAATAATCTATGTGTATAATCATTTGTTTTCTAATTTTCACAAATATGATCTATTTTTTCTACTTTCCTCCATTTCTAAATTAGAATTGGTTGCCATTGTGCTTTCAATAACTTCCATTTTAAAAATTTCACCTGTCTTTAAGCCCTGTTTTCCTTTAGCATCACTTTTCTGCCTGCCTCTGCTTTGTTTCTATGACTATATTTATTATAGTCTAATTTGCAATGGTTAATTAGAATCCATTTTCAGTCCAAGATGCACTCAGTTTTAATTTCTCTTAAAACCAACTATTTCAGCACTTTCTATTTCTCCTTTCCTGGCTTGGTATTTAGTCAAGAGTTTGGAAGTAATCAAGTGGTTGGCAGCAGTTAAGAATTCTAAGTTATTATGTGCTTCCCCAAAACTGGTTGGCTCTCTTCTTGAACCAGAGCATATTCCAGGAGTCCCTTTTTTTGTGTGCAAAATTCTTCTCTAAGACCTCTTGATGTTTGCTGTTCCTGGCAATTACCTAGTCTGCATGTCAAAGCTACTGGTAATGAGATATAGTATTTCTGCAGGTACTGAATGCAGAATGAAAGAAAACTATACACATGAGAACAGAAAAGTGTCAATTTGATTTTTACAGAACAAAAGTCCTGGAAACAAGACTTCATATTAAGACTTCAAGAAATGTAAGAGAAATATTGCTGTTAAGTGATTTACTTTTCATGGTTGGATAGCCAACATAATATTCACTTAGGGATACATTTTCTTCTGTTTCCAGATATAAGGCTTAATTTCCCATTTGTAGTTAATCTTGATTCCCAGCTCTTTGCTCTGTATTTTTTTTAAAAAATACATTGACTATTTGTTGAGAGATATTTCGAGGTTGTATGCCTCTAGATACCAATGGCTAGGGGAAATTAGTAGATCCGGAAGAAATTTTTAATCTGACCTGCCTACAAGGCTTCCTATTGGTATCTGGTGACCAGTTTAGAAGCCAGACACTGGACTAAATGGATCTTGTGCTGAATTAATTGGATGCTCCCTATCTCCCTATGATCAATAATATGTTTGTCAGGGGGACTTCTGGTTTGAAGTCTCTTCGGCGACAGACAGAAATCTGCGATCGTGCGCGGTTTCTGTCTGGGCTCACTGCTGGAGCGCCCTGAACCAGGGGGTTTTGGGGCTAAGCCATCCCGTAGAGGTGGTGAAGAGGGGGGAGACTGCCAGAAGGGTCGAGGAGAGCCGCATCTCTCCTCCTCAGCTGGCCATTACTCCCTTTCCTGAAGGCAGTTGCAGCGGTGGTCAGAAATGGCCACCACAAAGAAGAACTCGACCAGAAAAGAATGTGCAGGAGGAAGATAAGAAGTGAAAGTTTTGGCTGACTGGGTTAAATTGTAAAAGCAATAACTAAGGTACCCTGGAATTTAAACTTACAAAAAATAACATTGCTCCCAAAGAAGAGTCGGAAGCAGTGAAGGAAAGTGAAAAGGGAAAGGTTTGGCTTTTTTTTTCTTCTCTCTCCTTCCCTATACTGACAACTAAGAGACTTAAATAAGAAATCAGAAAAATCCGCTTTGACATCAATAGGCAATTAAGCTGAAAATAAAACAAAATGCCAAAGGGATAATAAAGATTTCTGGACTTTTAAAATTCTCTTTTTCATAAGCAGGAAGGGAGAGAAAAAGAATAAGGGCAGGATCTGGAAGAGGGAGGAGATTGCCTGGAATTAAAAAGAATCTACAGTAAAACTTCAACAAGACTTCTAAAAGATACATTTTAACTGAAACTTTGTAACCAAATAGTAACCCCAGGAAGAGAAAGTGAAAAAAAGAGCAAAAAGAAACAGCTTGTGTGTATTTGGATTATTTGGTGATCTTTGGATTCTTGGTTATTGCATTTGAATGACTAAAATTAATTGGGTGGTTGTTTAAAAATTTATACAATGGCACCACTTCTGGATGAATGGAAAATGGAACTTAAAAAGTACAAAGAAGATGCACAAGAAGGGAAGGGCTCTTTTGGCTTCGTTTTTCAATTCTTAGAAATGGAGACCTCCCATTTGTGAGAAATTTAACAGCAGGTTTAAAAGGTATTTCCCCACCACCACCCAACTTGGCTGATTTCTACCTTATTGTTTGAGATTGCCAATGACTATTGATATATAATACTGATTTTTCCAATTGATATATATTGTATTGTCGTTCTATTTTTATCTGTTATTGGAGGTTGTCGAGGAGACACTGTTCTAAAAGTTGTAACACAATTCATGGAAGCAAACAGAGAAATAATTTTCTCAACATTATTAAATTCATGTTTGCTCCTGGGTTGTATCTATCCAGTGATCATCATTATCATCATCAACCCCACCACCAGGTGTGATTCCTACCTGCTGGGCAGTTGCATCTCTGGTAGATATCTCTAGCCTCCCGATGTCTTGGCAAATTGAAGTTTATTTTCTGTAAAATGAATGAGGAGGAAAGTAACATTAACAATCACAAAGCCAAACGTTTCTGCTTGCTACAAAACATGTGTGTGTGTGTGTGTGTGTGTGTGTGTGTGTGTGTGTGTGTGTGTGTGTGTAATCAGTTCTGAACTACAAGGAGGAAGAGACATGTGTTCCTGGGTCAAAAACAGACAACAGCCTTCAATTCTAATCTCAGCATCTGTTTGACTGAAAGCAGATAGAACTTAGTTAATGGAATTGCTACACAGCATCTTTGCTGTACTGTCTGAACCGCAACTGTGTGCCATAGCTGTCTAAAAGGACTATTACCCACTTAGAAGAGTTGGAGAGAAGTTAAAATTATGGAAACTTTGATCCAAGATGGCACCGACAATGGCTGCCTCGGTGAAATGCTCTCTAATGGTTTCATGTACATTGAGAGCATTTGCACCAAGACAAATTCTTTGTGTGTCCAATCACACTTGGCCAATAAAGAATTCTATTCTATTCTATTCTATTCTATTCTATTCTATTCTATTCTGTTCTGTTCTATTCTATTCTATTCTATTCTTATTCCTATTCCTATTCCTATTCCTATTCTATTCCTATTCTATTCTAAAAGCGCATCTTACCTTGCTTTGCTTATAGTCACCATGAGATCATAACCTAAAAGAAGGCCTCCTGCAGTGAGACAACCTAATCCATGTGGGCTCTAGTGTTTGCAAGAATTAGGGAAATATTTCCTTCCCCAACCATTTTATGATATTTGAGAACTCTTTTCACTACTTGGCCAACAGGAATGAAACATGGGATTGGGAAAATTCAGCCCATTCTGTTGGGGATATGGGAAAAAATGTGTTTTACTTCACATTATAATGGGAAGTTATCAGATTTATTTTTGTGAGTTATTATATGAAGCACTGTATATATTAATTTTGTCCCCAAGGTGCTTTTCAAAAGCCAACTGGACTTTCTTGAATTTTTCCATGAATGTTTTGCTTCTTATTCAAGAAGCTTCTTCAGTTATGAAAAATCCAAGAAAATCAGTTTTTGAAAAGCACCTTTCTGACAACCACAACCTGGATAACTGAGAATCTCCATAGACCATTTTGGTCCTTTTTTTCCCCAATTTTGTAGTCCGAGTGATTTTTAAAAAAAGTTATTGTTAATTGATTTCACTTGCATACTTCCAGAATCATCTTATGACTCAATGGAGGTTTAATTTAAAAAAAACACATTAAAAACAGAAACAATTCTTAAAAAATCAGTATATTCAACAAGCAGGAATCATAACAACATGCAAGCAATAATTATAGTCACCATCATAATATACATCTGATGGTGTCAACCACACATTGGGCAGCTTCTGCTTCCAAGGGCTTTGCAGCATATCTCTATCATCATGGGTTGTCAGAAAAATGCCAGACATGGTCCTAGCCTAACTTCTAGAGCAGGGCTGTCAAACTCATGTCGTCATGGCGGCATCATGTGAAGTATTGGGACTTTTTCCCCCTTTGCTAAACCAGACGTGATGTGGCCTGCACATGACGCATCCAGCCCATGGCCCCAGAGTTTGACAGCCCTATTCTAGAGGGACACAATTTCATGAAGTTGGGGCCACCATAGGAAGACATCATTGCTCCTTCCAATCTCATCTCTTAAGGCAGGGAAATGTCAAACTCACATTTTCACGGTGATGTATCGGGACTTTTTCCCCCTTTGGTAAAGTGTGCATGGCGTGGCTAGTACATGACACATCTGGCTTGTGGGCTAGGAATTTGGCAGGCCTGTCTTAAGAACTGAGTCGCCTTGCCATTCCATAACATTCATTTTGGACAAGTGATCTGGATATATTGGTTCTGGAGTATTACAAGTACATAGATATCAATAATTTAGAGCTTTAAATGTCAAAAACAATATTTGATGTTTTGAATTGAAGCACCATTTAATTTTGAAAGGTAGCCAAATATAGAATAGCAATAATCTATACTAGTGATGGTGAAGGTACTCTGAGAAAGGTATGTAAACTGAATGTGGCTCTGTGAAAGTACAGCTGACAGTCATAGCAAAAGGCAAGGAACTAGTAAATAGACTGGTTTCATGGAATTTCTCCAGATAAGAAGAGGAAGGGAGATTATCCACATGTACACTGGATGGCTGGTCCTTCCAAAGAGACTACAGGACATTGGCTTTCTGTGGGTTTAAGCACCAGGAGACAACAGGATTAGCCATTTGCTTGCAACCATGGAGAAAATTGGGAAAGGCTCTCAGTTCACAATCCTCACTTTCTAACCACTTTCAAAAATTTCTTATTAATTACTTCTAAATTACTAGAAACCTTGGAAAGTGCAAGTTTGAAAAGGCTACGTAAGTCTGTCTTCAGTCATGAATAAAAGGACATTTTAATCATAAGCTTAAAAATTTAAGGATTCTGAAATACACAGCAAAAAGTTAAATACGATTTTAATCTTAGAAAGTTATAAACAGATTAAGGACCAGATAAAAATGGAATATTGAAATTTCTACAATACGTTTTTGGATTAATTACAAAGAACAGTTTCTCATTGGAAACAGATTCTATGTTGATTTTTTAAAAGATACATCAAGGATAAGCAATTTCATGATTTAAAAAACTGGAGAAGACTAAAAAAATTAGGTAAAGATTTATAAAGCTGTAAAATGTTGCAAAGCATTGTAACAATACAAATACTTAAGGCTTTTAAAGAATACAATCAGAAAATAGTAACAGTATTAATAAGTAATGAATATACCTCTATAAATATACAAAATATATTATTGCAGAAATGACAGATGTAGAATAAATTTTATCTGCCCACTCCCTCCCCAACACGTATGGCAAATGTTCTACAGGTGTTTATTCAAACCCCCCAAATAGGTCCTTGGAAAGCACTCCTATTGTGCAGCTCCAGATTCCAGCACGCTCTGAGCCCCGATCCTGACCAATACTTGGCTCCACGCTTTCCTCTGCAGACTCAAATTTACTCTCCTCCTCTGAACTCGCATCTGGAAAGGGGTCCAGTGGTGGATGTCAATCCATGACATAAAGATAGAAATGGTATCAAAAGTGGATTTATAACTTGACAGGCCAAGAAAATGACTTAGAAAACGATGTTTTACTGTACGTATCTACTAAAAAATACCCTAAAAAACTGTCTGAAGTTATAACAGTTTTAAAATTTAAAAGAAAAATGGCAAACCAAGAGAGTGATCTGGATAATTTTTCCTATTGCGTTTACAAAAGGGTTTAACCCTAGAACAAAATTTGAATGAACTAAAGATTAAATGAATGAATTTAAGACTGTTAGAAGTGAAAGGGAAGAACATAAAGTTCTTTATTCAGGTTAAAACATGATGTGTTATTTCTGATAAACCTTATGATCTTTCCTTATGATCACAATTGAAAATAACAAAGTTTTATGAATTTGTTTACAGCTAGGATATGGGCCATGGAATGAAGAGATAAATATTTGTAACCCAGGGTGAGGAGTCACTAAATTTGTTTATAATTGCTGTGATGAAGGTTTGGAAGTCACTTCTTTTTATATTTCTTTACTCTTTATTATATTTTTACTTTTCTTTCCTTTTTTCTTGCACTTTACTACTTTCTATTCTCTCTCTAGTTTGTATTAGATTTTATTATAATAATCAAAACTTTTAATAAAAATTATATACATATAATATGTATGCATGTATATAAATGTGCACATATAAACTAGTAGTGATGCAATCCATGTTCCTGTCTCCCTCTTTAGGCAGGGCTGCAATGACACATTAGTTAAAGACTCATCTTGCCTCTAAATGACTTTCCAGTATGCCATGAGTAAGGAGGTCATCATTAGAACTACTGGAGCATAGGTGTCAAACTCACAATGTCACGTTGCCATCACATGAAATTTCGTGACATTTTCCCCCCTTTGTGGAGCTGGGATAGGCGTGTCCTACGTGTGACACACCCCTGTACTAGAGTAACCAATGCTAGATTTGTCCTAGGCCTAACACTGGAACCTGATTGGAAAGGATTCAATTGGTTCGTTTCCTTTAGGGCATTTTTCAGCTGAACCCATGATATTTTTTCAACAGCCTTCTCTAGAAAGGAAAGGTGATAGTTATAAAATACTGCAGATCTAGTCAAATCCTCTTCATATGGAGCATGCCAGTACCTCCTTCAATGCAACGGAGTGGTCTTTTTTTTTTTTTTTTTACCAAAAGCATCATTAATACTTTCCTGGTCCCAGCTAGTTATGCTTCTCTTTGATACCCTATATCAGGGTTCTCCAACCTTGGCAACTTTAAGACTTGTGGGCTTCAACTCCCAGAATTCCTCAGCCAGCAAAGCAAAGCTGGCTGAGGAATTCTGGGAGTTAAAGTCCACAAGTCTTAAAGTTGCCAAGGTTGGAGACCCCTGACCTCTATAACCAGGATACACAGATCAAGACCACATCCTTCCATAAACAAGCTCCCTTCCTAGTTCCTTCCTCCTTCCTAGGAAAAAGAGAAGGAAGAAGTAATACATTCTGACTTGCAACTTTCTGTTATTATAAATTTACAAAAAAAGTAATACTGACTTCGATGGCATTGCTTTTTTTCTTCTGGAATACATACTCCAGCTTTCAGTAATAAATAGGAATAATATTGTTATGCAATTTTGATTTATGACACTCTGTTATTGCTCTCTTCAAATGGGGCCCATTTCATTTTTTACCACTAAGGCTAATAAATATTGAGTACAAGAAACTCTAAGGGAAGAAATCATTTATGTGAAAACTCCCCCAGTTTGCTGCCTGTAAATTAGGAATTCAGCACTCTACAGCTGTGATACTGATTGTTAGTCAGTGGTTGGAATATTTGACAATCAAATTATAATAAATATATTCACAGGCATGATGGTTGTATAAATTTGGAGAGTAAGAGAGCAAATTGAAACACATTTTTGCAGAGGAGAAAAACACAAAATAAATTGCTGATGTTCTTTTAAAGATGATTAAACCCTTT